AAAAATTCTGAAAGAAAACCAGAGAAAATCTTTGTGATCTTGAGTTTGATACTATTTATTAAATAGGATACAAAAAGCACAATCCATAAATGAAAAAATTGATACACTGAACTTTACCAAAAGTAAAAACATAATGAATGACTTTGAAGAAGACATAAATACAACACATAGAACTAGGAGAAAATATTTTCAAAACACATACCCAAAACATATGAAGGACTCTCAAAACTCAGTAATCAGAAAACAAACAGCCCATTTAAAAACAGCAAAACGTTTGAATAGACAACATTAGGAAAATGCAAAATTAAACAATAATCAGATACTACCTATATTTGAAATGCTACAGGCAAGAATGCAGAGAAATGGAGCTTTCATACATTGCTCATGTGAACACAATGTACAGCTACTTTGGAGAACAGTTTGAAAGTTTCTTACAAAACAAAATAAGCAATTGGCATAAAACTTGGCAATCCCACTCATAGATATTTACCCAATATGAAAATGAAACATATATCCACACACAAACATAATGCACAGATGTTTTAGTGGCTTTATCTATAATTACCTAAACCTGGAAACTATTCAAATGTCCATCAACTAATGAATGAATAAATAAAATGTGGTGGTATATCCACACAATGGAATATTAGTCAGCAATTAAATAGAATGAACTACTGGCATATGCAACAACATGAATCAATCTCAACAGTGTGATGGCTAGAGAAAAAAACAAGGCACAAAACACTATATACTGCATGATTACATTCATATGACATTCTGGAAAAGGCAACCATCTTAGTGGACTGGAAACAGGGACGGACTAGACAAAGAAGACTGAGGGAATTTATGGGTTGAGGAAAATGTTCTATTCTTTGATTATGGTGGTGGCTACTGAAGTGTATGAATTTGTCAAAATTAAGTGCATCTAAAATGGATGGATTTTACTGTACACAAATTGCTCTTCAAAAAATCTGACTTTAAAAAAAGGGACAATGTTCTTTGTGACAAAGTAAAGCAGTTTTTTCATCAGATAGAAGAAGACACAAATCTAACCTCCTTCTTCCTATTTGACCTCACCCCTTGATAGAAAACAGAAATGGTGAAATTGATATTTGCTGAATGGAAAAGAAAACATGAGGTCATTTTAAGTGTAGAAAATTAAGTATAAGTTTCAAATAATGAATTAAGGATGCATTGTGATAACTGAATTATGGGTTATGACAAAGGAATGAACAAGTGATACTTGAGAAGTATATGAAAACTTTCTCTTATTGAGTATCAAGTAAAGTTTACTTCCCAGATGAGATTACCATGGATCGTAACTTGAGAATTAAAATTCACAAAACCAGGCTTTTGAAAATTTTATTTGATTTTAAATCAACATCTTTTTGGTATTTTTCCTTTTGGCTACAAAACTGGAACTAAATTTCATAAGAAAGCTACCTTTCAGGTAATGTACTCTAGTTCACTTATAACTGGACGATAGTGCCACTTTCAGAGGCATGTTTTTATTATTAAAGAGAAAAGTAAAAGGCTTAGGTAATTTTCAGGATATATAATTTAAGAGAGGGAATTCAGCCAGTTAAGCTTACAGATAATATTTTGAAAAACTGGAAATTTTTAAGTAGCTAAAACTTATATAATTTGAAAAATCATTTCAATTTTTAAAAATTCGTGTCATTTCACTTTTTTAAAATTGAAGTCAAATGGATAATATAAGGAAAATATAAATAAATACCACAGACACTATTTCTTAATTAATGTATCATTAATATACAATCTTCTGAAGGTTTCCATGAACAGCATTGTGGTTTCAAGATTCACCCATATTATCAAGTCCCCCCACCACCACATTTCAGTTACTATCTATCAGAATAGTAAGATGTTATAGAGCATTATTTGTCTTCTCCATGCTGTACTGCCTTCCCAATGACCTACCTGTATTGTAAGTGCTAATTATAATGCCCTTTAATCCCCTTCTCCCTCCCTTCCCACCAGCTCTCCCCACCCCCTTTCCCTTTAGTAACTGCTAGTACCTCTTTGGAGTCCGTGAGTCTGCTGCTGTTTTGTTCCTTCTTTTTTGCTTTGTTGTTATACTCCACAAATGAGGGAAATCATTTGGTACTTGTCTTTCTCCGCCTGGCTTATTTCACTGAGCATAATACCCTCCAGCTCCATCCATGTTGTTGAAAATGGGAGGATTTGTTTTCTTCTTATGGCTGAATAATATTCCATTGTGTATAAGTACCACATCTTCTTGATCCATTCATCTACTGCTGGACACTTACGTTGCTTCCATTTCTTGGCTATTGTAAATAGTGCTGCGATAAACATAGGGGTGCATATGTCTTTTTCAAACAGGGCTGCTGCATTCTTAGGGTAAATTCCTAGGAGTGGAATTCCCGGGTCAAATGGTATTTTTATTTTTAGTTTTTTGAGGAACTTCCATATTGTTTTCCACAATGATTGAACTAATTTACATTCTCAACAACAGTGTAGGAGGGTTCCCCTTTCTCTACATCCTTGCCAGCATTTGTTGTTGCTTGTCTGTTAATGTTGGCCATCTTAACTAATGATATCTTATTGTTGTTTTAATTTGCATTTCCCTGATGATTAGTGATGTGGAACATCTTTTCATATGCCGGTTGGCCATCTGAATTTCTTCTTCAGAGAAGTGTCTGTTCAGATCCTCTGCCCATTTTTTAATCAGCTTATTTGGTATTTTGTTGTTGGAGCCTGTGAACTCTTTATATATTTTGGATGTTAACCCCTTATCAGATATGTCATTATAAATATATTCTCCCATACTATAGGATGCATTTTTGTTCTGCCAATGGTGTCCTTTGCTGTACAGAAGCTTTTTAGTTTGATGTAGTCCCATTCATTCATTTTTGCTTTTGTTTCCCTTGCCCAAGGAGATGTGTTCAGGAAAAAAGTTGCTCATGTTTATATTCAAGAGATTTTTGCCTATTTTCTTCTATGAGTTTTATGGTTTCAAGACTTACACTCAAGACTTTGATCCATTTCAAGTTTACCTTTGTATATGGAGCTAGACAATAATCCAGTTTCATACTCTTACCTGTATCTGTCCAGTTTTGCCAACACCATTTGTTGAAGAGGCTATCATTTCCCCATTTCTATCCAAGGCTCCTTTATCATATATTAATTGGCCATATATGTGTGGGTTTATATCTGGGCTCTTTATTCTGTTCCATTGACCTATGGGTCTGTTCTTGTGCCAGTAACAAATTCAATTATTACTGTGGCCTTGTAGTAGAGCTTGAAGTAGGGAGTGTAATCCCCCTAGCTTTGTTCTGCCTTCTCAGGACTGCTTTGGCTATTTAGGGTCTTTTGTGGTTCCATATGAATTTTAGAACTATTTTTTCTAGTTCATTGAAGAAAGCTGTTGGTATTTTGATAGGAATTTCATTGAATCTGTAGATTGCTTTAGGCACAATGGCCATTTTGATAATATTAATTCTTCCTATCCATGAGCATGGGACACAGACAGTATTTTTCAAAGGACTTTGGATTCAGATTTGAACAGTGTTCTGCAGTTTTCTCTAGTTTCCTACTCAGTTTAATAGAAATTCAAAATACTTAATCTTAAAGAGTATATAGTAAGAGTTATTATAAATAACTTTATACCAATAAATTCAAAAATTTCAATTCAAATTCTTTGAGTAACATGAGTTATCAAGTAGGCAAAATTGGAGCAGAATTGGTCCTTTAAAGATATCAGTTTTTTTCTAGAAGACATTTAATTTTGTATGCTTTCTGCCTGAGGCTAGGGAAACAAGAATCCAATAAGGGAAGATCAGTCTTGCTAGTTTGAGGAGTCATTAAATGGAGTTCAGGACTACTAGTGAAGATAGTGAAAGAGGACATCTTAGAAAGGTAGGATCCAAAGAAAGGGCCCCCAAAATGTGCATATAAACTCTGCCTAAATCCCCAATTGACCCCTATGCATGAGGGGGCAGACTCCAAGGAGTCCAATGAAAAGAAACAGTGGAGGTTTGAAAGAACTTAATAGACACTTTAGCTAGTGCCCATGATAAGGGAGAGAGTTTGGGTTTGAGTCTAACCAAGTTAATTCCTTGATAGGAAAAAGCAAAATCAACCCTCTTCAGTGGAAGAAAGCAATGTCTAGTCTTTACAGTGTGCCATCCAAAATGTCTAGCATACAATAGAAAATTATAAGACACACAAAGAAATAGGAAAATGTGAACAAGAGATATAGTAGTCAAATGAAACTCACTCTAAGTTTACATAGATGTTGGCATTAATAAAGGCTTTAAAGTAGCTGTATAAATATTTTCAAATACTTAAAGGAAAGCATCATTATAAGTATTGAAGAGACATGGAATCTCAACAGAGAAATGGAAACTATTTAAAAGTATGAAGTGGAAATTCTAAAGCTGAAAATAAAAGCATCAGAAATAAATATAATTGACTGGGATTAAGAGCAGATATGAAAAGGCAAAATAAAGGGTCAATAAGCTTAAAAAATAGATCAATTGAAATTATCCAACCTAAAGGACAGAGAAAAAATATTGGGAAAGAAGTATAACCAGAGCTTTTGTGACATGCAGGACAAAGTCAAGTGGTCTAACTTAAGGGTAATTGGAGTCTCAGGAGAAAGAGAAAAAGTGGAGCATAAAAATATTTGAAAAAATGAGTTTCTAGAAATACGTGAACAAAGCTCAATAAATATCAATTAGGATAAATACAATGAAAATCACAACCAAGCATATCATAGTTAAACCACTGAAAACCAAACATAAGAATAAAATCTGGAAGCAGGCAGAGAAAAGTGAAACATTGTATATGAGAACATCAATTCAGATGATAGCTGGCATGTCATCAGAAACAAGAGAAGTAAAAGACATAGGGCAATGTCTCTGAAAGTGCTGAAGGTGGAAAAAAGAACTACAAACATAGAATCTATACCACTGAAAATACCCTTCAAATGAGGGCAAGGATGGTGTAGGTCCACTCACCCAATTTTAGCTGATTTGTTATTCCAAGGAACAGCTTTCACTCCAGGTGCAGTAAAGAAAGGCCTGGTCTTGACACACAGCAGCCTTTCAGCAGGATAAACAATTAATAACTGAAAGAAAACACATGTACAGTGCAGAGATAGAGTAAGGGATGGAAAGTATGAATATGTTCAGTGGAGACAGACTGCTTCATTCATCCCTTTCTCCTTGAGTTATTCCATCTTTTCTTCATTTTGCCTACATTTTAGTAACAGAGTGATGGATTTATATACTTTTTGAATTCAGATTGTTTTCTGACTATAAAGGTAATATATTATCCTTTTAGAAAGGAATACAGAAAACTACCGACAGAATGGAAATTATTTATAATTCAATGATATAAAGACAAACATTGTAAATCCTTTGGTGAATTTTCTTATCTTCTTTATATATCTATACATAAATTTTGTATAAGTAAATTGTTTTATTGAAGTATGATTGATATACAATCTTATATTGGTTTCACATATACAACACAGTGGTTCAACATTACCCATGTTATTAAACCCTCACTCCCACTAGTGCAGTTGATATCTGTCAACACAGGAAGATGTTACAGAATCATTGGCTATATTCTCCTTGCTATTGAACATCCCCATGATCAACTTATATTATGATTGAAAATTTATGTGCTTTTTTATCCCCCTTAACCCACACTAACCCCTCCCACATGGTTATCACCAGTGACTTCTCAGTGTCTATAAGTCTAATGTTATTTTGTTCATTTTGCTTTGTTTTGTTTTTATATTCCAAAAATAAGTGAAATCATATAGTATTAGTATTTCTCTGCCTGATATATTTCATTCACATAATACCCTCTTATTTCATCTATATTGTTGCAAAAGGCAGGGTTTATTTCTGTTTTAGGGCTGAAAAATACTCCATTGTGTATATCTACTATTCTATTTATTTACACCTATTGATGAACACTTAGGTCACTTCCATATCTTGGACTATTGTAAATAATGCAGCAATAAATAAAGGGATGCATATATCTTTTTAAGTAAGGAATTTTTCTTTGGGTAGATTCCTAGAATTACTGGATTGTATGGTATTTCTATTTTTAGTTTTTTGAGGTATTTCCATACTGCTTTCCACAGTGGGTGCAACACTTTACATCCCACCAACAGTGTAGGAGGGTTCTTTTTTCTCCACATCCTCACCAACACTTGTTATTTTTTGTTTTTTGGATAGTTGCCATTCTGACTGGTGTGAGGTGATAGTTCATTGTGGTTTTGATTTACATTTCCCTGATGATTAGTGATGTGGGGTATCTTTTCATGTGCCTGTTGGCCATCTGTATGTCTTCTTTGGAAAATGTCTGTTCAGTTCCTTGCCCATTTTTTGATTGGGTTATTTTTGTGTGTATGTTGAGTCAAGAGTTCTTCATATATTTTGGATGTTCACCCCTTACCATATAAATCACTTACAATATATTCTCCTATACTGTAGGTTGTTTTTTGTTTTTCTGATGGGGTCCTTGCTGTACAGAAGTTTTTTAGTTTGATGCAGTCCTGCTTGTTTATTTTGTTTTCCTTACCCTAGAAAATGCATCCAGGAAAAAATTGCTTGTGCTTATGTTCAAGAGATTTTTGCCTGTGTTTTCTTTTTGGAGTATTATAGTTTCAGTTCTTATATTTAGGTCTTTAATCAATTTTGAGTTTACTTTTGTGTGTGGGGTAGACAGTAATCCTGTTTCATTCTCTTTCATGTCCCTGTCCAGTTTTCCCAACACCAGTTATTGAAGAGACTGTCTTTTCCCCATTGTATATTCATGGCTCCTTTATCATATATTTATTAACCATATATGCATGGGATTATATCTGGGATCTTTATTCTGTTCCATTGATCCATGGGTCTGTTCTTGTGCCAATAAATACTGTTTTGATTACTATATCTTTGTAGTATCGCTTTAAGCCAGGGAGCATTATAACACCCGCCCCCCCATCACCAGCTTTGTTCTTCTTTCTCAGAATTGCTTTGGCTATTCAGGGTCTTTTGTTGTTCCATATGAATTTTAGGTTTCTTTTCTCTAGTTCATTGAAAAAAGCCATTGGCATTCTGATAGGGATTGTATTGAATCTGTAAATTGCTTTGGGTAGGATGGACATTTTGACAATATTAATTCTTCCTATCCATGTGCATGGGATAGAGTTCCATTTATTTGTGTCTTCTTTAATTTCTCTCATCAGAGTCTTTCAGCTCCTTGGTTAGGTTTACTCCTAGGTATTTTACTCTTTTTGGTACAATTGTAAATGGAATTGTTTTCCTGATTTCTCTTTCTGCTACTTTGTTGTTAGTATAAAGGAGTGCAACAGATTTCTGTGTATTCATTTCGCATCCTGCAACTTTGCTGAATCCAGTTATTAGTTCTAATACTTTTTTAGTGTAGTCTTTAGGTTTTTCTACATATAATATCAGATCATGTGCAAATAGTGGCAGTTTTAGTTCTTCCTTACCAATTTGGATACCTTTTATCTCTTTATCTTGTCCAATTGCCATGGCTGAGAACTCCAGAACTATGTTGAATAAAAGGGGTGAGAGTGAACATCCTTGTCTTTTTCCTGATTTTAGAGGAAAATCTTTCACCTTTTCACCATTAAGTATGATGTTAGCTGTTGGTCTGTCATATATGGTCTTTCTTATGTTGAGGTATGTACCCTCCACTCCCTTTTTGTTGAGAGTTTTTATCTTGAATGGATGTTGAATTTTGTCAAATGCCTTTAGAGCATCTATTGAGATGATCATATGGTTTTTATCCCCTTTTTGTTAATGTGGTATATCACACTGATTGATTTACAAATACTGTACCATCTTTGCATCCCGGGAATAAATCCCACTTGGTCATGATGGATGATTCTTTTGATGTACTTTTAAATTTGGTTTGCTAATATTTTGTTGAGGATTTTTGCATCTATATTCATCAGGGATATTGATCTATAATTTTCTTTTTTTGTGGTGTTCTTGTCTAGTTTTTGTATTATAGTGATGCTGGTCCTATAGAATGGGTTTGGAAGTATTCCCTCCTCTTCTACCTTTGGAATACTTTAAGAAGGATGGGCATTATCTCTTCTTTAGATGTTTGGTAGAATTCAGCTGTGAAGCCATCTGGTTCTGGGATCCTGTGTTTTGGGGGGATTTTTTATTACCAATTCAATTTCATTACTGCTATTTGGTCTGCTCAGATTTTCTGTTTCTTCCAGCATCCATCTTGGAATGTTGTACTTTCCTAGGATTTTGTTGGCAAATAATTTTTCACAGAATTCTGTAACAATTCTTTATATTTCTGTGATATCATTTATGACTATTCCTTTTTTGTTTCTGATTTTATTTGTTTATTCTCTTTCTTTTTGACAAGTGTGGCTTGAGGGTTTTCTGTTTTGTGTATCTTCTCAAAGAACCAGCTCTTGGTTTCTCTGCTTTTTCTACTGTTTTATTCTTTATTTTATTTATTTCTGCTCTGATCTTTATTATGTCCCTCCTTCTACTAACTTCTACTAACTTTAGGTTTTCTTTGTTCTTCTTTTTCTAATTTCTTCAGCTGTGAATTAGACCATTTATTTGGTATGTTCTTGTTTCTTAAGGTTGGCCCGTACTGCTATATACTTCCCCCTTAGAACCACTTTTGTGGTGTCCCATAAATTTTGCAGTTATATTTTTGTTTTAATTTGTCTCCATGTATTGATTGATTTGTTTTGAGTTGTTCATTGATCCATTGATTATTTAGAGGTATATTGTTTTGCTTCCATGTGTTTGTAGGGGTTTTTTTATTCATGTAATTTATAATTTCATACCATTTTGGTCTGAGAAGTTACTTGATACAGTTTAAATTTTTATAAACTTAATGAGGCTTTTTTTGTGGCTTGGTATGTTTTCTATTCTATAGAATGTCTCATATACACTTGAAAGAAATGCATATCCTGTTGCTTTTGGTGGAATGTTCTATAGATACCTGTTAAGTCCATCTGTTCTAACATGTTGTTCAGTGCCTGTTTCCTTATTTATTTTCTCTCCAGTTGATCTGTCTATTGATGTAAGATGTATGTTAAAGTCCTCTAATATGAATAAGTTGCAGTCTATTTCCCTCTTTAATTCTGTTAATGTTTGTTTACATACTTAGGTACTCCTATGTTGGGTGCATAGATATATAATTGTTACATCCTCTTGTGGGATGGATTCCTTTATCTTTATGTAATGTCCTTCATCTCTTGTTATTTTCTTTGTTTTGAAGTCGGTTTTGTCTGATATAAATACTGCTACTCCTGCTTTTTTCTCCCTATTATTTGAATGAAATATCATTTTTCATCCCTTCACTTACAGTTTGTTTATGTCATTGGATCTGAAATAAGCCTCTTGTAGGCAGTATATTGATGGGTCTTGTTTCTTTGTGCAGTCTGCCACCATATGTCTTTTAATTGATGCATCAATCCACTTACACTTAAGGTAATTATTGATAGGTATATATTTATTGCCATTTTATTGTTTTCTGGTTGTTTTTGTAGTTTCTCTCTGTTCCTTTTTTCCTCTCTTCTGTACTTCTCTTGTTATTTGTCATTGTATTTCTCTTCTTTAATTTTTTGTGTATCTATTATAGGCTTTAGGTTTGTGGTTACCATAAACCAAGGTTTATGGATAGTTTCCTAACTATATAATAGTCTTTATTAAGTTGATGATCGCTTTAATTCAAACACAGTCTGAAAGCACTTCTCTTTTATTCTTCCTCCTGCACACTTTATGTATTAGATGTCATAATCTGCATATTTTTGTGTATCTCTTGACTGATTTTGTATATAGTTGGTTTTACTGATTTTTTTGTTTTAATTTCATAATTGCTTGGTAAGTAATTGGTCTACTGCCTTTACTGTGCATTTATTTTCATTGGTGAAAACTATGTAGGCTTAAGAACATTTCCATCTACAGAAATACCTTGAACATATCCTGTAATGCCAGTTTAGTGGTTTTAAATTCCTTCAGCTTTAGTTTATCTGGTAAATGTTTAATCTCTCCTTCAAATTTGAATGATAACCTTGCTGGGTAAAGTATTCTTGGTTGAAGGTCCTTCTATTTCAAT